TATAAGGGAAATAATTCTTAAAACCAATTGCCATTTGCCATGGTAATAGTAAAGACTCAAGAAATATGTATTTTATTTTACTTGTTTGGCATATAGAACCTAACTCCCAGAAAGGTACACTGAGAAAATTAAATGTAGGAAGACAATACCAAGGCCAGATTCTTATTCTATCAGCATTTACACACTGCCACTGAAGTTGCATGCTAACACTATTAAGTTTGGTGACCTCCTTTTCTTTTTTCTTCTTTTGATTTTTTTAGGCAAATTGGGAAATTTTATCATAGTGAAAAACTCCTGGCCATACCCAGCTCCTGGGCAGAGATAAGCAATCTTATCACACCCCAGTTTCAGAAAGGAACAAAAGTCCAGCATGTTTTCCCTTGAGCCATTACACCTAGTTTGAATGCTTACCCACCSAGTATGGAAAATCAGAGGACCAGCATGACCAGGGGTGCTAGAGAGCAAACATGCTCCAGAAAACAAATATTGCCTATGAAGCTGTTGGTGCAATCCCTAACTCTTTCCAGGTAAATTTTCCCTGTAATACATCATCTGAGATTCAAAGAAGACCGAAACATGCTTGTTGGCTTTGTCTCTATATTGGCATGGAAGGTTAGGAAGAAGAAAAAAAGAAAGAGGAAAGACAGAAGATTGACCGGACCTCTGCTTTCAGCACCTCTCTTTGGGACACCAAAACTATGAATTATGACATAGATGGTATTGGCTCTACCCTCTCTCCAAGGAGACTTGCAGCCACTTCATGGCTTGAGGTGGCAAGAAAGGATGTCATGAAATGCGTGCAGTGGGACTTCATGCTTTGTATTATGGAATAACGCACCATTYTTTGTGGGAAACCGTAAGAAAGTTTAAGAAATTAAAGGAAGTTATACTGTATCTACTCTAACTTTACTCTATTAACTAATACATAAAAATGAAGGCATCTCTGATAGTAGTGAGGTTGSTTATTTTGAGAATTAGTGCTTAGCCACAGGTGTCAGTGTTTAGTTTTGGGTGACCAATATGCAGTTATTTTGAAAAATATTGTGTTAGCTTCTGCCAAAGTAGACTCCCAAGCAACTACTACTTCACTGAAACTTAGGAGTACTTTACAGTCTAAAACTCTAAGCTAGAGCAATTCCAGAAAGTGAAAAACATCTGTGCATGTTTAGCATAATTCCCCAGCACCCAATTCAGTGACAGTCAGGACTGAGAAGTACTCTGTATGCCCAAGGTTTTTTCAGTTTCTTCCACTGATGAACCACCAGAAACAGAAATGCCAAATTATATTGACACAACAGTGAAACCAGAATTTTACACTCACTAAGTCATTTTGTTTCTGCTGTTTATATAAAGCTGCACCCACTACTACCTTTCATTACCCACTGTTTTGCTCAAACCCTTTTCTCTTCTTCAATAGCTTGTATCACCTCATGTGGTCAGMCTTCTGTCAATGGCTGTATCCCAAATGGGAACTGGCAGTCACCTTTCCAAGGCACGTAGTACCAGCACCACAACCCTCACAGTATCTCAAAATGCCTCTTGTGTACACAGATAGTGCTCAGAGTTCTTCTCAGAAAGAGAGCAACCTTGCAACCCTAAGGGGAATTGACAGGTAGATAAGTGTCCAAGTTCTTTTAGTAGAATAAATAAAGACTTGGGAGTTGCAAAAGTTAAAATTTGAGTCATAGGTCCTACAGTGATTCATTGCATTAAGATATTTGTTATCAAATACTGCTTTTAATCATGGTGAGTACGATTCTACACATGCTCCACCCGTTCTACACAAGCTCCCGCAGACACATTTTTCAAATGCCGAAGGCTGTTACTACTACACTAAAGCTAGAGATTCCCTTTCCATCACTTCTTCTTTTACATCTGCACCATGTTCATGCATTCTGTACTCTGGTGAGAGCTAGAAATTCCACCAGCTCGTTATATTCAGATTTGCTTTCCACCACATAAACCATAAGCTCAGCAGCACGAAGTCCCAGGTTATACTACTTGCAGCTGCAGTAATATCGGACAAACATTTCAATTATTTAATTAGACTCCAGAGAAATACCTGAAGATTTTTATACCAATAATGTGAATTCAGTTATTAATTTATATGTAATTGATATTCTGGAAGCTAATATTAATAAAAAAATAATTTCATATTTAATAATGTTTACTTCTCACTTTAAATAAATAACCACTCTTAGATGGACTCTAATAAAAGTTGATTATGTTTCATTATTTTTAATCAAAGTTTTCACTAGAATAACATGGAAATGGTCAGTTGCCCTGCCTAAACCTAAGTATATCAATGAGCAGGACAGGGGAAGATTGAGGAAAAACCTTTAGCACAGGTGAGAAATTCCATTGGTTGTAGGGACCTGAAGAAGAGGAACCAACACCTTCTTGCTTCAACAGAAAGAAATGAAGACTCTCCAAAAAAAGAACTGGTTACAAAATGAGTGAGGAGAAAACTAAATACAAATAGAAACAGGAAACATTTAACAGGAAAAAGAGGAAGGAAAGCAACCGAGTACCCAGAATAGTAACGAAAATCTCACCTAGTAACTATGTGAAAATTGCGAAGATTAAATAGAGGTGAAACAGAAAAATAGGCTTTCATCTGTCTGGTTAATTGTGAACTGGAAAACGATTTTTTTCCCCTTCCCCTTGCAATGTATTTTATTTTCTTCAACTGTAAAGGTCTCCTTCACTGTTCTTTAATTAAAAAAAAAAAAAAAAAACCAATAAAAAACCAACCAAAAAACAAGTATTTCCTGTCTTTCCACACAAGTAACTTTTGTTGGTCTCTTCTGCAGTATTTCCAACTAGGGTTTTTTTGGTTTTTTTTGGTGTTTTGTTTTGTTTTGTTTTTTTAAGTGACATTGCTGAAACCCCTTGAAACACATCTTCTTTGGTTTTCCCCTAAAAGACAGGATAAGCTCCTCCCCAATGACTCACAGCTCTGACCTACTGAGTCTTGAAGAAAATATGAAGGTATTGCTCACTTGGTCCACACACAGTGGATCCATTTTGCTGAGCATTACATGGACAAATATGTTATTCATTTCCCTGCTGGTAAGCCCTGCCTCTCACCTTGGGGGAGAGATGGCAGGAAAGGACAGCTAAAGGACATTCAAAAGGAAAAGGAGGTTGAAACCTTTCTCCCATTTCCTCTAGACTCTCACATATTTTCTATGAAAGTTTCATTAAAGCCAGAATCTAGTTCAGCAATCAATTAAATGCTTTTGTCACATTATATGCCAGGTATAAATATTTCACAGAACAGGTTTTGACTGTTTATTTACACCCTATGGTTCCTAAAGATCTTGACATGAGCAGACTAAAACATAATCCTGTAAACTTAAATCTATTTTCTGTTGTACTGAAGAGTAAATGTATTACATTTTAATCTCAGAAAAAAATAGATATAAAATTAAGAATCTGTAAAACATATAGGCTTAAAATATTCTTATATTCTTATTACTGCTTTGAAATATGTATAAATGGGAGACTGAATCCTACTCTAGGTATCACCTTCAGCATCTCTAACCAGCCAGACCAAATTCTTTACAGATCACTTATTTTTCTTACTTGTAGACTGGAGCTGTATTCCTCAGCCATTCCCAAAGAGCACTTGAGGTATAGAGATTAAAGTAAGTACTTGGTACAATTACAAAAAAGTAAAATACCTACCACAGTGCTAAAGAAAAAAAAGAAAAAGTAAAGACATGCCACTGTGCAGCCTGTGTTTCACAAGTTTCTCTATGAAACTCTTCCAACAGTTCCTGAGGATGCACATGTAGTATTTACACATAGCAGGGGCKGACATGCAAAAGCTTGTACTCTATCAATACTGCTGAGTTTATACAAGCCCTTGTATAAAGATAGCTGTAAATGATTAGAAGAGCTGCTAAGGTACTAAAGCAACAAAAAAGAGGATTCTTTTTAAAAAAAATCTTTCTATAGTTTCCCAAAATTATAAGAAAAAAAAATGTAGCTTTTAGTAAGTTCTCCAAAGTCTGTGATGGATACAGGAAGAAAACCAATTAAATTTGGAGTATTTTAATTCAGATTTTGAGCTACTATTACTGTACAACTATAGGAAAAACATTACCCCTCTMTAATGGACTCAATCAGGATAACAGTGGCCTATGCCTTCCAATCAAKTTGTAGTAGAGGATATACAGATTGATGCTGCACCTCTATTTTTATGTTCCTCTATTTTATATTCCTTTTCTTTTTTCTTTTTTTGTATTTTATCAATGGTTTGATACAATAATAGTTATCAGGAGCAGAAAAATATGTTATTAGCTATGAAAAATACTGGTTTACTGTCAGTTGGATGTTAGGATTCTAAGTACTTGAATAAAGCAATGGTAACAGGATTTTTTATCAGATCCTTGCAYGATTTTGCATCAGCTCTTTGGAGGATTTTGCAAGTTGCAACTTGTAAGAAAAGATCCTCATTTACACAGTTCCACTGAGGCTACCTGAGTACTCGGAGTGAGGTATAAGGGTTATAAAGCATCTTCCTGTGCATGCCAGCTACAAATACTATTAGAAMAAGTGGTGAGTGATTTCAGCACAAGGAAATAAAAGGGACTAGACCAGACCCACTCTGAAAAGTAAATCATTAACACAAGCACTTTCAGTAGGTGAGCTTTTCATTTTGTGACTAGCTGAATTCTGATTCCTAAAATCAACACAGCAGAACAGAGGRTGTTGTGCTAATGACTCTGTTTACTTACATTATAATCTCACTTATTCAATACATGATTAATGACTAACTGTACAGTAAATCTATAAAACCCAAGGACACAAGGTACCAAGAGGTGTTCTGCTTCATTGTTACTTTGGAGCCTAATGTACTTGGTATCAGTTTGATTGGATGGCTTCTGTCAAATCTCCAAAACAGAACAAAGTTTCACTATAACAGTTTCCCATTACTTTTTGTCTAGGGAAGATACTATTTTATCTCAACAGAACTTGAAGACTCTATCAAAATGTATTGTGGAGATTATGTGAGTATAATGATTTGTTCTCTGAAATCTTCAAAACTTTCCATTCCTTTTCAGTTGTCATCACATATGTTGGGATCCATTTCTCTCCATTGGTAGAAATTAATTTTAGGTGAAGTTAATTTATTTGTGATTTGGGTTTAATCCTGATGTTACTTATGATATATATCAAGTGTCTTAAATGAAGATTAAAATATAAAAAATTATAAGTTCTTATCTAATAATTTTAGACCTTTCAAGAAAAAAAAAGAACTCAAGCCTTCATGTGAGGTTCTGTACATGGGTTTTCTATGCTTGCACTTAGCTGCTACACAAGAAACTAAATTCCATACTATCACCTAACTGTATTAAAAATAAAAATGTGAATTTTTCAGAAGATACCTATTCCTGGCATTATTTTGGGGGAGTTATAATTTCACAAGATGATCTGTAGTTGCGCTAAGTAACTGAATAGCTTCATCATTTATAAACATTTGGTTTTGTTCATAGTGTGATAAATATTTTTAAGCAAAGAAATGCTACCTCCACAAGAGTCATAATGCAGCAAGAGTTATGAGYGATTGTTCCGCATCAAAAATTTGTGCAATATATTAAATGGCTTCACTAGCACTCTGTAAGAAAAAAATGTTTATAGTGCAATTTTAAATCTCCATTCATTCAACTATTATAGTTACTATTTCAAGACAACAAAATGCAAAATTGCTTTCTGTACCTGGCATACTGACAATTATGTTCTCTAAGGATTTTCTTTTAATTATTATTGGTAGGAATAATGATTCATTCCTTTCAAAGGCTTTTAGCATGTACATTCTCAACAAACCTACAAATCAATATAGAATATTCTAAAGGAATAAATATTTTTCCCTTACCTATTTTAATAGAAAGTGTAATTCACTAATTACTCCAATCTTGCCAGTAAAGTATTTCTTCTGATAAAATTATACTGCATATATTTGCTATTCTAAAGTAATTGCTATTGAATCAGGATTAGTAATATGTTTGGTTTTCTGCTATTTGGGATCTTGCATCCTTTGCCAGACAGTTAAGAACTTGAAAGAGGTTTTCTACTTTGTTTCTTTTTTTCTCTTTAAGTTACAGCCATTCTSTAATTTATTCTTGATAATTAAAGGAAGACAGAAAGAATAACTCTACCTGAAAAAGTTGGTAGATTAGTTTCAACTGGAGAAGTCAAGAAATTCAGTTTCTTTTCTTCTACTGATTTATTGAGACCAATCATATCTAAGTAATTGGCACTGCTTCTGCATATGATATGTTGTCTGATATTAATGGTAGCATATATAAAATAACTTACAGAAGAAATTCTTTTAAAGTCATTACATCTGGAAATTATTATATTTACAAAATAATGTAGTACTTTGATAGCATTATAAAGAAAATCTAATAAATAAGACAATCCTTAACTGTGRCAGATGTTTACAACAGGTACCTAGGCTTAATTATAACATAACCATTACACATTCATCAGTCTAATGAAGTACCTGWGCAGAGGAGACATTTAAGTTCCTAATTCTGATCCACTGAATTACAGCAAAATACTCCAAAATAAATGGTGTTAATACTATCTCTTTATTCCCTCATCTTCTAAACATAAAAAGGCACACTGATAAACCCTTTGTTTTTTTATAATCACAGAAACAAGAGAGCAGAGAAGCAACTGCAGACAATTTTTACACTTTATTCAAATTTCCATGTGTTATGGAATGGAAAGGGAATGAAACTAGGGTTTTTTATGAACTAGATCATTGGATCCTAGGAACAGACTTCCCTGCTGAGGCATGCAGACAGAATTGGAACATGTAAAGCAGAGCCGCACATAACATTCTCCCCTGGACGCCAGCTTGTTCTTCAGGATAAAGTTGGTCATGGARCAGTGGCAGTTTTCTCTGAAGAGACTCAGCAACAAAACAGAAAAATCACTCCAGCAAATCCCAAACAAGTAAACAGAGCTTACACAGGGCTGAGTGGTGAGACTGTCACATTAATATCCTCTCTACTCCTCTAAAACACAATTTTAGATTGGGAAAAAGTCTTAAAAGCACACTTTAGACTTAAGAGATATTTTTCAAGAAATCCCAGAACACTGAATATATCATTAATTCAGAAGGATAAGAAAAAAAAAAGAATAATAAAAAAATTGGGAGCATTACTTTCAAAATGTGCTTGTTTAAGATGACCTCCTTTATATGTTATGCTACACATATTAGTAATTATATACATAATCTGTGAAAAATCAGGTAGAATGGAGTTCCCCAAGATCAAGAATTAGACGTACAAACTGTTAACAGCAGCAGCCCTGTCAGATTCAGCAATGCAAGGCATCATTTTATCAGAGATTGCATACACAAAATGGCTCCCCATAGTACCACAGGTAAAACKACCAGAAATTAGACAAGATAACATCTGTGACCTCTCTGAAATGCATATACAGAGAGAGATTGGAGGCTTTAGAGAAATAATTTTCTATGCTTAGAAGTATCTCTGCTATTACTGTATCAAATATTATTTAAATTAAATGTAACACAATAAACTCACAGCAAAACAAAATACTCATGAAAGTTTTATTACCTTAATAAAGTTGCACACAAAGGATATCTTTGTAAAAGTATAGCTAGCTCATAGTATGTAGTTAGCTAATAAAGAAATCATTCTATTTTAGTAGACATTCCCTATGGGAAATATTCAGACCAATAGGAGGAGTCTGACTTTGATTGTTTGTTATCAGTAGAATGACTTACTGAACAAATATTATTAGAAGGTTGATCATACTTCAGAATGCCTTTTCCATCACAAGACTGAATTGCCTGAAGTTTACACATCATAATTTGATAAAAGCAGCCTCACCTTTTACTGATACTTTTGTTGAACTGTTAATGACTTTGGTGAGAAAAAGCTGTTACATTCTTGTTCTTGCACAGAAGAAAGGTATCTTTTTCTAGAATTATTGTAAATTTTTCAGTCCTCTTCCACCTTGTGTTGTTTCGATTCATTCCACCAACACCACACAAACCTSTTCTGTCTGCACAGCTGATGTTGGAATCAGCTCCTTACAGGAGAGTTAAAAGAACATACACAAACGCAGAGAGATATGTGTAAAGTGCCCACCCGGGCCACCTCTGTGGAGACAGATCTTTGTTTTTGAACATGAGGATATCCTAAGATCAGAAAGAGGAATAAACACCTCAATGTCAAAAATCACTGGATCACCTCTGGAGATTCGCTTGCCTTATCTTTAAGTGCTTGGACACTTTGTGAGAAAAAAGACAAAATATTTTTCATTTTCTTCCTTCTGAAAAGCAGATATCCTTTTCACTAGTATGTTGCAGAGGAATGACAGTACAAAAACCATTTTTCCATGTTCACATACATCAGTTTGTCTAAATTAACCTACAAAAAGGCCAAATTGCTCTTGGAAACTACCTTCTGCTGATGCTCTTTGTAAAGCAGAAAGCTCTGCCATGCTGAATTCTAAGCTCACAGTGAGAGCTCCAGCAAAATGGTGAATATGTCTTGAGAGATGCTGGAATCCAGGTCTCAAAATTAAAAGTCTKTAAAATTATCAAAATTGTGTAATTCTTCACAGCCTTCTAGTGACTATACCAGGTATTTCCCCCCTGGTTTTGTCCTATTTGTACATTTTTGTCAATCCACCTGTTCCTAACAGTAAATTTGAACTTTTTAGTGAATTTCAATCATTCAGTAGAGAATTGCAATATCTTCTGAAGTTTGTGAAAACACTGCTCAGTAGGGGTGAGGGAATCAAATTCTATTACCAGTTAAAGAAATACAGCAGTTGAAACTCAACAGCCATTTATTCCATTGGCCCAGCATTAGCCAAATGCTACATCCACACTTCAGACTTAGTCACAGGACAAACCATATTTACTTAGCCACTGGTTGTCTCGGAAAGGACCTGATGGCTTGTGAGTGTAGATGGAACAAGGAGGGGAAATTAACTGTAAGTAAGTAGGAAAACAGAAAGAAAAGAATCAGGAAAAATAACAGATGTTTTTTTATCTGCAGTATTCATGGAACAAGTTGTACCACAAAGCACTAACATATATTGTTTCGTATTTCAAAACAACGCTCCSTCTTAATAGCCACAAAATCCACAATCTTGCATTCAAATTTACTAAACGAACCTGATATTTTTTGGCAAGCAAAATACCTGTGTTTGCACTTTTGAGGATTTTCAAGTGCAAACAACTCAAARGAAATGTTTTGTTTTCTGTATCTTGTCCACTGAACCTAATGGATGTAGGAATGTAACATATATATCATATATGTTGTATATATCATATATACCATACATGGATATGCAAATCTAGGAAGAGACAAAAAATTCATGAGTTTTTACATGATTCATTATTAAGGTAGTGCCAGCATGCACTGCATAAGTAATTAGGATATTTCAAGTATATCTGGGTAAGAGAAGCGTTATCTGTTTAGCCATCACCTTGTATAAAACAAAACTTTAGTGACTTTGTCACTGTTATGTACATTCATTCCAATTGAGAACTGAGCCCTTATTTCCTCTGTGTGTTTTCTAGGTCAGCATTTCCCGAAGGCAATATTTAGATATCACCCTCCATCCATTTGTTTTTTAATGAATTACTGTATTTAGCATGAAAGAGATTAATAATGAGCTGTCTTGCACTGATTTTGATCTACTTCCAGATGTTCAGAAATTCAGCTCTGCAGTTTCAGTGTTTGCCAACACTCTTTGGAAAGAAGTGGCTACATTCAGACACTGATGAAAGAGTGAACACTTTACTTGCTATGGGATCTTTCCCASATTATTATAAATAAAACCCATTTAGGGAAGGAATACTTTTAAAGTGATTGATTTATAACTTATAAACTGGCTTACTGTAGCTTTCATATAGATATTAAAGCCAGGCTCACTTTACATCATAGAACSATTTAGGTTGGAAAAAACCCCTAGGATCATTGACTCCAACCATTAACCTAATTGTGCCAGGCCCACCACCAAACTATGACCCACACAGCATATCTCCATGTAAATAGATGTTTAAACACTTAAATATTCATAACATAAACAACAACTTTAATATCTGTACACATATCAAAGTCTGTTGCTTCTAAGAGTCAAATCTCTTAGGCTCCTTGTTCATTACACCTTTGCTAATTTCCTTTTTGGAAAAATGAAAATGATTAAATAAATTGCCCATGAAGTTGATAGTGGTTTTGTATTGACAATGTACATAATTTTTTCCACTCATATAATCACATCAAGTACACCAGTGATGACGAATACAAATTTCAGGGTTTGTACCTTATCCTAACAAAAGTTAAGAATTCTTGAATTCTTCAAAGCGTGTGTCTGGAATTGGTGAACACCCTACAAACTGACATCCAGAGCATCACGCAAGTYTCTTTATCACTCAATCCCACATTACTGAGACTAAGTAGGTGTTTGATAATGTCTACTTATTTTAAAAAGTTTATTGGAGAAGTTCCTGCACATTTCTTTGTTTGAAAAAAAGTATAGAACTATTAGATTGAGTAGAGGGTTGAGGGGCCAAAAGTTCCCTGAAATACAAAAAAAAAAAAAACCTCCATTGATGCTATCCATGAAATTAGGATAAAATTCTTGTAATAAGAATGTTAAGTAATCAAAAAATGTCCCTGCTCTTCTCAACTTACAAAATTACTTCTGTTACTTTGTCTCAGTTTGTTTTACTTGTGTGGATAGATTCAGAGCATTGTATTTACTCATCCCTTCCGATATCACCAAGTCAACAACAATTCAACTTTYACTTCTGTACATTTAACTTTGCCCTGAAGAACAACTTCTGCTCATCCTCATAGTGAACCATCTTAAGGCATGCAGAAGAAAAGTCATGAGATCACACTGGTAACTGGCCTTTGCTTTCCAGAGCTTAGGGAAGCAAAAGATGTTGCATAAGCAAAACAGAAACAGTGATAGACTCAAAACTGGGCCTCCTGATGTCAGTCTCTCACTAGGTTCTTCCAGCTATTTCAGCCATAGAGGCTGTAATGTAAAAYATCAAGTTAAGTGATTTTACGTAGGTTTTTCTGGCAGAGTAATACAAAATGTACTGAAAACCTAACACAAATGTAATACGGAGGAGGTCTGCATTACTGCCTTTCATGGTACGCTCCCTGCTGCTGGGCATCACAGGGAAGGAATACATGTGTCTAAGCCACCTGAAGCTGTTTGTTTTTTTTACAGATTAATTTGCTATCTTTTTAGTATTTATACTCTACATTGCACTTAGACATGTATTCACTCCCCTCATGCTGATCTGGCCAAGTCAGGGAGACATTCACCCTCTTTCAGTGAAGTCAGATATAAATATTTATATCACCAGTTTATTCTCTCAAATGTTGATAGCTACTCAGTCCATTTTTWGTTGAGGTAAAATAAGATTTCTTTGCAACAGCTCTGGTCAGTCCAGAGCATTTTTCCAGCATTTTTCCCTGAACTCCATGGGCACTCTGCTCCTGCTCAGCTGAGCCTTTGGCTGTTACGGGGATCAGTCACAACTGAATTCAGTGGAAATGAATGAAGTGAAATAGCAGTACATGTAACTACATCTAGSTGTTCAACCAATCCTAAAAATGCCCAGCTTCAAAGCAGGGCAGTAGAAATTCTCTAGCCAAAAATAACAGAAAGGAACAATTTATTCACATGTAGTTGCCTGCTCCCTGATCAAAATTCAATCTGTTGTAATTTCATTCAGTCACCAAATGCCTCTACTTCTCTGCTCCCTCAATTTGTGCAGTGATGAACATTGCTGCTAGCTAGACATTTCCTAGGCACATTTGTGCATGGCAAGCCTGTATATTTTTGCAGGAAACATGACTTTAATCCTTGGGCCCCAGATTCTGGAAGCAGAACCCCAGCTTTCCACTGTGACATTGTTTTGATATATATTACCTCAATTTCTTGGGCTATTTCAAACAAAAGAACATTATAACCACAGATGCTTCTAAAGTATGACAAGATTATAACAAATCTTGGCAAAACAAAATGCCTGCCACGATGTTCAAGTTTATGTCTCAGTACAGGAGATTATTGTAAGTCTTGTTAAAAAACTTAAAAACTATACCACCTTTCCTTCTCCCCAGATAACTGCTCCAAAGGAAATTACAGTGGTCATTTGCTCAGAAAAGTAAACCTCTTGAATTTCTGCATTATTTTCAAAGCAAGGTTTTCCTTCCCACCTGCTGTGTAGCATCTTGTCACAGCAGGACAGTAGTGCTGCTGTCCCAAATGCAGGCTCTTTATCTGGTGCACAAACACCAGTTCACACACTGAGGTGAGGGATTTCTGGGTTTTAATTCTAGTTTGCACAAGGTAATGAGCTATATGGTAACCTGCAAAACAMCAGCTGCCGGACCATCAGAACTCTACAGAGTTAATACAGTTTAACAAAGACATTAGCATTCACTGGTTACAAATTACATAACCTTTTTGTTAATTAGTAGACAAACACCTGATTGCTAGATATGCCTCTTGCTTCTCATAATTAATTAGAGTGCAGTTCTTACCTCCATTTGAGTCTGGGCTCTGTGTTGTGTAGGTAGTCAATGAGTTGGTGCTCATGAACTCCACTGCAGGAATGATCTTTCCTTCAGTTACTGCTCAGTTCTGCTGACTTCATTCCTGGTGTCTCTTGTCCTGACACCCCATACATCTTGGAATTGTCTTCCTCTTCCTTAAAAGAAAAGATTACCCAATCATGCAAGATTAACAATGCAATTGCTTAATCTTAACAGTTCATATGTGAAAGAAAATACTTCAAGATGGCTGATCTTTACAGGAGCTGAGGCCATACAAAGCTGATGCAGAGATGAAGAGTCAGCACAAGTATTTTAAAGTAGACTCAAATAAATGCACACATCCTATATTTTCTAACCTCCTTACCCCCACCCTTCTGGCCAGCAAGGGTTTCTGAAGCTAATATCTGTGGATCCTTATCCTACCATATACATTAAGTGCCAAATGAGGCCCAGGGTACACAGACAATTCTCACACTGATAAAGGAAGATGGGACGGAGCATATCTTAAGGATGAGTCTGCAATTCATTCACATACAACAACAAATATCAATCAGAAGAAATTGGCTTAATTTTCACTGTATCCTCTGTGGCCAATAATTTTCTCCTTATTTCCAAAACATTTTTTTTCTCAGCAATTTCCCAATTGTTTTATAAGTAAAAAGGCCCTACACACTTTATGTTCAGTTGAAAAAGTTGGACCTTGCATTTAAATGATGAACAAACTCCAGAAGGATGCCTGGCCACTGAAAAATACTTCTTTGTGTACAGGCATGGTGCCCTACTAGTACTTTTAAAATAACTCCTCCAAATACCTGAAATTTCTGACCATGCACTTTTTTTCTCTAGCTACAGACAATTTATTCTTATCTTTGCTTGGTGGGTCCAAAGTAATGATCAAATGTATCAAGAAATCATGTCTTCCTTCTCATCTAAAATACACAATTCTTGTTTGGTGCTTCTTAATTCCTCTACTTAGATTTCAAACCAGTCAAGCATGACTAGTGGCCATACACAAAACTTATGTGTATGTCATTACTGCTGGAGGCACAATGTACAAAAGTGTTCAATTGTATGTAAAACAAGCAAGCAAACAAACAAATTAATTAGTGTAATACACGTAAGTCCTGATTCTAGGAAGTATTTGTAAAAATACCCCATTAATGTTTCTAAAATATGTCCCATTTTCTTTGAAATGAAAATACAAAGTTAACAGTGTCATTTTAACCAGATGTAACTACTGAGTCCTGGAATCATCATAAAAGAGAACCTTTGTACATTGGGTAAAGCAGAATTCTCAGATGAACTAAAGAGTTTAACCAGGAAACAGAGCTAAGGATCTGCCACCCACAGTTATTTTCTTGTGATTCTATTAAAATTAGTTCTGTTTATTATTCACAGATTTCTTTAAAAAACCAAGAAAAATACATGAAATAAGTATCAATGAGAATGAGCTGACAGTAATTTAATCAGTTACAAAGCAATCAGAAAAATTGTGTTACCTTCTACATGGCACATCTGAAAGCTATCTCATTTAGCAGTAACATCATAGCTTTAATAAATCACTAGGTTTTTAAGCAATCTATGGATCTAATTCATCATTTTCATACTAGTCCCTTCAACAAATTAGAAATACCATGAGGAATAAATCCTGAAGACTGTCAGAGATACCATGGCTTAACTTTGATATATAAAACAATATTTTTTTAAAAAGTTGACAAAGGGATAGATATTAAAATGTGGTTACATTTCAATGCAAATCATCATCATCTTTTTCTTCCTATTCAGGCCTAGCTCATTCTAGGGACAATTTCCTCAAATATCATCTGTCTACCAAGGGTTAACTGCAAGTTTAGATTTTGTTTCATAAATTTAAAACTACATCCTGTTCCCCACGAAGCAAAGGAAATACAAAGCTATGATTGTTGGTTTTCAAGTGATTAACGTATACAATGTTAGAAATGTTAAACACCTCAATTAAAGTGTACTTTTTCCCTTTGTAGACACAAGGAACCATTCTTCCTGCTCCAAATTTTAACCCTATAATGGACGCCCAATTGCTAGGAGGAGCCCTGCAGGGAATTAGTGAGTATCTTTGCCGATTCTAACACTGATTTCCTCTTTTTCAGAAAGCTCCCAAAAACAACAAGCATTGCCGATTCTAACACTGATTTCCTCTTTTTCAGAAAGCTCCCAAAAACAACAAAAAAAAAAAAAAAAAAAAAAAAAAAAAAAAAAAAAAAAAAAAAAAAGCTCAGAAAATTAAGTATCACCACATATCTGTTGGTTCTTCAAGGAATCACAATAAGACACACTGATGATGTCCAAATAAATCATTTACAATTACAGGAACTAAGAGTTCATCAAGATTAATCCAAAATCTATACCAACTCTTACAGTAATGAACACTTCATTGAGAAAACAAGAAAAAGAAAACAGAATTCTGTGTTACATCACCAGAGTGAGGGCCAAGAAATGAAAGGATTTCAGTTGTAACCAACAATTAACAGCTACCAAGGTCTGCTAAGTCTCCTAATCAGTCATCAAGAAATAAATACAAATKGAATAGGAAGTTTAAAGAACTTATTATCTTTGCAATTTTTGCTTTCAGTGTTTATTCCAAAACCCTTTGGTTTACAAAACCATTTTTCTCCGTTCAGATTTATGTATTTTCCTGTTGAAACTTGTTAGGGTTGCTGAGGGTCAAAATATTGATCTGTTTTTTTATTATCTGAAATGTTTTCTTCACTTTAAAGCTTTTTTTATTAGAGCTTTTTTTTATTAGAGCTTTTACACCTCTTAGGCTTTTCACAAGGTTGTACAGTACCAAAAATTGCATTCAGTTTTCAGTTTCTTTAATGAAAATGTGAGGACTCAGACTTAATGTTGAATGAACCACAATGAGCATTAGTGATCAAAGGGAATCTGAAGAATCTTTATGACTAAGCTGACTACATATGAAAAGTTTTAAACATCTTCCTACACTTCAAATAGTACTTTTAAGGTAATGTTGCTAACATGAAAATATAGAGATTATATTTTTCATTTAATACTCTAAGTACAAGCACGTTAACCTTCATCTCAATTATCCTATCAAAGTACATGGAACAAAGTTCTACTTTAAAGGAAAATTGACAAAATCAACAGTTCAGCTTCAGGGGAGGTAAAGTCACCATATCCTTTACAGGTACTGACTACCTGACCTTCAATCCTGCACACGACATTCATTCTTATGAGGATGTTCAGTCACATATGTTGTCCCATATGATACCAGTGGTACCACACAAATTAATGAAGTTTTATATTTATATTATATAATATTTCTTGGATCTGGATCCTTCTTAGTTTTTGCTATACGGACTATGTAAGCTGTAAAGATTCCTAATGATAACCATTTCCTGAAAAGTAAAGAGAAACCATTATGTACAGTATCCCAGTCCTTAGGATACAAAAACCATTTTACAATTCTAGAATAACTTTCTGAATATGCTAATAATATTATTTTTCAGAAGCAATAATACTGATTCATTATAGAAGTTTAGTAGTATGTTCTAGCCATCAAACAAACCATCATATGTAACATTCAATGAAATATCTTTGGAAATGGGGTAAAATACTACTTTTTAAAACTTCATAACCTATTTTATACAGTTCCTCTGAAATTACAAGTTTTTCAACAAATGGTCTAACAGCAATTTGTCATCCCCATAAGAGAAATCCCTAATAATYAAATGACAATTTAATCAATATCAGGAGAGCACACAAGTATGACTTCCAAGGCTCAGTCACAAATCCTACTACTGGGCGTAGGTCTGAATAAATAAAAGCCCCTATCTGTTTTATTGATGCTTTCAAATCCATTGAGCTTGGGAGAGGTGATGATGCATCTGGTAATAACAGACTGCTTGGCTTTTTGATGGTATTATACCAGCATGAGCAAGATACCTAAGCACAATAAATAAAACTAATGTTGTTTAATACCAGTAGGATATTAGTCTCTCAATCAAGTTTTTCAAGAAATTAGTATAATGTTCTTTAACAAAACACGAACAATCAGAAATGCAAGTAAACAATACCACTTTGTTATTTTGTTTAATTTAGCATCTGTGTAATTTCTTTTTCAGGTTGTGAAAAACAAGTGTTGATTGATATCCTAACTCAACGTTGCAACTCACAGCGGCTCATGATTGCCGAGGCATACAGAGACATGTATGGCAGGGTATGACACAAGCACTTTGTACTTTCATTACTTCTTTCTCTCCTGCCTGCTGTGCAGCTGTCAGCCCTTCTCTCAGGTCAGTCACTGGAACCAAAAGCCTGTCAGACAGCTGGCTGGCACCAACAGGTTGGCACATAACTTTGCTCGTTGGCTGTTGATACCTCTGATGGTATCAGATTGTCATTTCTACAGCAGAAGTATGTCTGCCACGCACAGAGTTAGAAAAGGGCATGGAAAGTTCCTTCTTCTACAGTTCATGCTTCTCTATTGACCAACCTAAAATTTCTGAACAGGCTTATTTCTTCATGTGCTTTTGGGGGTTCTGAAATAAATTTTTCAAGCTTTTGGAATAAATAATAAAACAGCATTGTAACCAAAGTAAAACACAATACAAAGAGTTACAGGCTCTTTGTCTTATTCACATAATGATTAGTGTTCACATCTCAAACACTGACATTCTCACATCTCCTTCCATGTACTTCCATCCACACACTAAGCACCATATTTATCTCAGCTGCTTATTGTGGAATTCATGAATCTTTGAAAGGTGCTTTAAAATTTTAAGGCATAAAAAAAAACTTTTACTTTAAAATTTTTTTAAAATTACTTTTTAAAAAAAAACTTATTTTATCCATATTTGCTGTATATAACAATGTAATTTTTGTTGCACAAGTGCTTAAACATACACAGAGAGATATCCTCATTCTGTTTCTGGATGTACTATTGCTAACCAACTAACTTTGGGAAAGTTGAAATGCCTGCATTTTCCTTAGTTACTACAGCTGTATAGGGACAAAAATAATAGCAACTCCTTCTGCAAAATTCCTGTGAAAGTGATGAGAAGTGCTGCRTGAAACTATTGGATCAAATTGACACGACATACCCTTCCCCTGAAAGAAGCCAGGCAAACACTTAACATGAAATCAAATTTTCTTCATTTCTTGAAGCCTGTAAAAGAAAGGGCTCACTGGAAAATTCCTTGAAGGTCATTGTCTGCTTGCCATTGAATCAATCAGCATGAGTGAGAACAATGGTTTTGAACAAATGCTACTACAGAGCCATCTATTTAATTAGGGCTAACTAATTGAATGGTTCATTCAAAAACCCCACATCTTGTGGTGCTCTTAACATCACGAGTTAGTGACCAGCAGAACAGTGTGTTTTTTCCTTTGGGTAACCAAGACATTTTCTAGCGACAACCTTTGTGCCAACTCTATATCAAAATACCTCAAAACTGTTGACCCCTAGATAAGCTCAAACACCCACTTACTCTTCTAGAACCAGAGGAAAAAGAGCTGGATTTAATCACTATAAGTGGGTCAATTTTGTGTTGTTACCCATGTTCAGGAGATCAGTGACTTTATTTGGACTACTGGAAAAAGTCAAAAMCACAATAATTGTGATGTTCTTTGATGTAGTCTTATTGGATCAATATATTTTAAAAAGACCATAAAATAACTGAATCACAGTTATCGGCCTTCCAAAGATTGCTACAATGATTGAAATCAGTGTACCTAARTTATTAAAAGTATTTTTTCAATTATAACATATCTATTAGGTTACCATCACACATGCAAACCACACAAGTTCAGTGTTTATCCATGAAATATTCCTCACTGAGTTTGAATTTTACTCATAGAAAACTAAAGTATATCAAGATACCCAAAGGTGCCTGTAACATAAAGCATTCTTTCCAAGTGTTCAGTTAACTCCTTCATCACTTCTCTGCTCCATCCATAGAAGCTGGTTGGTTTGTTTTAGCCTCTTCTTTGTAGTGTATCCACTGGACCTAGCACTCTAACAAGGGAAAATGTTTTAAAGCTCCATATGATGYTTTTATCTTTAATTTCTACTCTTTGATACATGACCAAGAGATAACACAATATCACAATAAATAATTGGCTAATGTCCTTCAGGAATGAAGTTATTTCATATTCACGGAGAACAATTACTGACTTGTTCCTCACTCATCTAGTTGGTTTTTCTTTTCAAACAAAAAAAATTTAACAAACCAATAAATCCCTATGAAAACACATTACCTTTAAATTCATGCCTCTTTCAGCCATAGGAGTCAGCCTGAAGTGCTATAAAGCCAGTAGACACACACCTAAAGATCTAGAAGAAAGAAAAAGGCCAAAGAAAACCCCAGATGTTCTTTTTAAGAATTTTAGCTGCTAAATTTGTGAATAATAATAGAAAGAAAAGACAAGCTAACTGTTTCCATATTCCAGCAACAGGCTACAGAGTATTCTAAACTCATGCAACATACTGCAATATACCCACAATTATAATTCAAATGAATTCATTAAACACTGGGTATGCTTTAAAGTGCAAGATACATCATGATACTCTTGAAAGTTTCCCAAAAAAAACCACACCAAAAATGTTATACATCTTTTCTCAAATTGCTGCAGTTTGTGCTTTGAAAGATAATTYAGCACACGTAGCATTTCCCTGGCTGTAATGTGTCCTACTGGTTATATTGCATCGAGCAAATGTGCCATTCGGCAGCCCCAGTTTATGAGTGGTAAACACTGCAGGACAAGGCAGAAGTTTTAACCTTGTCAGTTCAATTTATGGTAAACCTGTTGGTCCAATCCTCTTCCCTCTTTATTTCACTTCAGTCTGCTCAATATGGTAGCCACTATGACCATTTATTAGACGAATGTTAACTGTGGCATATTAAAAGGAGAGAAATATAAAAATAAAAAAAAAAAAAAAAAAAAAAAAAAAAAAAAAAAAAAAAAAAAAAAAAAAAAAAAAAAAAAAAAAAAAAAAAAAGAAAGACCTGAACTAGCTGCATGATTTGGACATACAGAGAAGCTTTAATATTCCTTCTTACAATTAGCTTTCAAGGATTTCTTACGGCAAAGATGATTAGGAAATTAAAATAATGACAACTTAGAGCTGTCTTTTCTTATTTGCAATACTTCACTTTCCTTAGTTCTGATTGCAGGAGCAATTGTTAAGTAGTATCCATTTGTATTATTAATTCATTTTCCCACAGGCACATTACCAGAAGTAAAATGTCTTAATGAATTAATTTCTAGTCCATGTGTGATTTCGTGGTTGTCAAATGAACCTAATGTGCATTCACTGAAAACTGTATGTTTCTTCATCATAAATTTAATTTTTAATGAGCATATGTTGCACTTCATTGCTRCTCTAGCTATTAATTATATTCAGAAATGTATCAAAATTAAAGTACAGGCCTGAAAAAAATACAGCTCTGAAAACTATTGTTTATATAATGAGAACTGTTTCTGGCATGCCTTTCAATTCAGACATAGACTAGAACATATCTGACAGGTATCCAGTGCTGCATACAAAATATCTAAAAAAGAAAGAAAGACTGCACAAGTGTCCTCAATCAGAAACATCAATAGTAAGTTAACAAGCTTTTGGCATTTGCAGTGTTTTGAAAGATGCTACTGGGAATGGGGAGAATGAGGAGGAAACTGATGCATTACTCACATACCTGGCAAGAAAGAACTGAAAAACAGGGGGAAAGGAGGGTTTCTTATTATTAATCCAGCATCTATCAAAAGTACTGAATTCAGTTTAAATGTAAAATATACCTGAACTGAAGCTCATAACCATCCAGCAATCCAAAGCCAGTATTTTTATGTACTAAGAGCAGTACAGATGATTTTTTAAATTCACATATTAACCCTGAAAAGACCACAAGAAATCACCTTTGTTCTGTGATACTTGTCTTCCAAAGGCATTTACCTCTTTCAGAGGCACACAGAGAAAATGTTAGGGGAACCTGCAGATGCTCTGCTGTGATATTTAGTTTTCCAAGACTTTAAGTAATAGTTGCACTTAAACACCTGTGTTTTCTTCTCTAATCCATTGTGGTCTACTGGCTTGTGCACCTATTCTCATCTTGCCCAGCAAGTACTATTTAAAAGAATCCTTTTTTTACTTAGTCTTAGCCAGAATTCGTCTTTGACACTACACAGAAAAACACTATTTTTTTATGCTGTCTTAATAAAGTGTGATTATAAAGATAATCCTGTCTGGGCATCTCCTTTTTCTTTTCAAGGATCTAATAACAGACCTAAAAGAGAATCTCTCTCATCATTTCAAAGAAGTTATGGTTGGCTTGATGTATCCACCTGCCTCCTATGATGCCCACGAGCTTTGGCATGCCTTGAAGGTAATCTTCATATTCCAAATTGCTTAGAGTTGCAGTCATTAATTAAAGTACWGAAAATACTTCTTTTTTTTAACATTTAATTGGTTGATAAATTACTGAAAGTACACTGGAGCAATTTACTATCACATAGTTTACTAGTCATCAGAAATAAGTGCTATTTCAAGTTTATTCATTGGTATGCTAAAATCAGCATAAAAATATCCTTCTCATGTAGCAAATAGAACCCATTTAACACCCATGGTAAACTCAGGAAATGAAGAAAGTTTATAGAGGGAAATGTAAGGTGCTCTTTCTGCAAGCATTTATGTATGTTATAACCCAAATTTATTTCCACAGCCAGTGCCATGTACTAAGACTCCATCTCTCAAAAGACCAATGCTTCTTTAGCAGAACATGTCTTTGCATAAACACTTGCAAATTACTCYGTGACAAAGCAATGATTACTCCCCTGAAACACAGCTGATCTCCCAATTTGAAGAAAATATTTTCTTTTATTCCCAAGATCTGAGACTGCAATCCTCACACAACTGAAGTCTTGAAACAAAACCATTTTTTCAAATATCATGTCACTAAYGAATGAAATTCATTCCCATGGGGCATTGTGGAGTTCACAAGCACAAATCAGTTCATAAAGAACTTCAATAAATTCTTTGAAAAYAGGTTGACTGTTGGCAATTGAAAATAATTATCGTTCTCAGGAAATTCCTGAATTGCCATTTCYGAAAGATAGGAAGGCACATCAGAGTTCAACACAGTTTTCCTTTTCTTTCCATGAGTATTTGCTGTCTGCTGTCACAGGCAAGATACAGATTATATGATTTTGGGCAAGATGATCTATTTTGTCAATTTTGAGAATTCCCTCAGCCCCAAAAAGAGTTAGCAGTTTTTTCTTGTTCTTCAGACAGTTAAATCAATGCACTTTTTAGAACTACCAATACGTTTTTATTACAGCTGGCATTAAAAGGATTGTGAAATGTCATTGTTAACAAAGGTATCATGACTTTTATTAACATTATTGACAAGATTGCCAAAGTTTATTTTTTCCTAAATGTAGATCAAGGTTGAACTTTCTTATAATACTCCATCTTGATCTGGGTTCTTATGACCAAGTTAAAAAACAGACCCATGCATCTATGGACTCTAATGTTCTTCCATTACCTCAAATGCYGAATACTCACGAACACTATATACATGTGCATATCAAAAGGAGCATATGCACCATACCTTATGTCAATGGAAGCTTATAAAATTAATTCAAATCCTGCAGGAAAATACAGTGATTGCATTGCATATATGGCCAGATGTTTTCCTTTAATAGCAAGTTCTATGCTAGATAGTACAGACTGTGGCATTCCTAATAAATTACAAAACAAAACAAAACAAACAAACAACAACMAAAAAAACCCACAAAGACAGACCAACATAATAGCTGTGCTCATGTCTACTTCAGATTTCCTGAACACTTGCTAGAGATGTATGCTCAATCTTTGCATTTGATTTCTTTCAGCACATAATCTTAAACTATGAAATCATTCTCATTATGTTTCTGTCAACACTAGTGTTGTTTCACTCCCCACTTGCTAATGTACGTGCTGAAATTCAGATTAAGGAGAAACATATTTGAAATACAGGGTTTTACTTACTAAAAGACATTTAAACTAGACTATGCCAAGTACACTCTGCAGAGACTGCTATTATTTTGTTATTTCTGATAAGGACACCATTGCTTTCTTCTAAAAATTGGGGTTTCTACTACACAACATMTTTTCATATGTTTTCTTTACTTCTTTCTATACAGGGAGTAGATACAGAAGAAAACTGCCTAATTGACATATTAGCCTCAAGATCAAATATGGAGATCTTCCAGATGAAAGAAGCCTACCTGATGCGTAAGGTTTTTTAACAAGTGCACCRTAGTAGTTGTACTATGTGTATTCTGGAGGTATTAGCAGACATGAAGAAACAGAACTAAAAAAATGACTCCTAAATACTGACTGGCTCCCTTCCCACCCTCTCCCACAGCTACATACAAAAGGCTGAAGCAATGTGGGTGGGTGGGTGGGCAGATGAGTGGGGACAGCAACTGAAGGCCTCCAGCAGGGCCACACAGACATGCCAACTCTACAGCCAGGCCCCTGTGTAGAACATGCCCAGGTTACAGTGAAATAGACACCACAGAAAATGGACCAGTATTTGAAACCTATTTATTCTTTATTTGATAATCTTAATTTGTACTACTCTCAGTATGTTCATTGGTGATTTAGATTGTATGTTTTTGGTTCAACCTAGAATACAATACTGATCTTCAACAAGATATCGATTCTGAGACTTCAGGTCACTTCAGAGATACACTCATGAACCTTGCTCAGGTACTGGAAAAACAAGTAGCATGACTTACACTTCTAAAAGATTCATAATGACTTTTGACAGTGTTTGATGAGTTTTACATTTTAAAGTGATGGTAATTAAAGCAAGTTCAATAGGGCTGCACTTTTTAACATGAGACAGAAGGAAAGCTGATGAGGAAGAGAAACTGAATTCCTCCATCTACTCTGACTTTGGCTATCAGATGGTGGCAAAGGTAAWCAGATTAGCTTATGAAGTCTTTAATAAGTATTATAAAGTATTATAAAGTATTTAATTTATAAAATTCAACTGCTGACCCTCAACTCCRTCTCATCACAAAATGAGTCTACTTGCATGTACAAATGAGACTGTCATTTTTAAAACACRTTTTCTCTGTTATCAGGATATATCATAATCCAGTCAAAACATTATGTGAAAAGAGAGATATAGTCACATTTGACTAAGAAATAAAGAATTAAATAGTTCTCTACTTAAAACACGATGCTCTTTGTGATATTGCATATGCTAAATCACTACATGCTTACACAGAGGCAAAGGAAGTGTCACTTTTACAGACCAACTTCTGCAGTTTTACCAATCTGTAGTTTATACAACAAAGTGGTCATCCTTGTCCAATCATAAGCTCCCATTCTCTTTGTAGTCACTGTGCTCATTATCTTTAAAATCTTTTGCAAACTAGAGTAACAAATAATGACAAAAGGACCACCAGGGGTTAACAGCATACATAAAGGGTATCTGTATTTTTACATAAATGAATGGCTGGGGAAAAGCTTATAACATAAGCTCATCTGCCCACCCACCCATTTCAAATAGCAGTAGGCATCACTGAGATACAGACAGCAGAAGTTTCAAAAGTAGGACACATAAACACAAAATATTTTTTTCTCATGCTGGATGTTTTTTGCCTGATAATGAAAATACTTCCTTGCTTAAAAATGAAGACCTAGAGGTAAGCAATCTCACTTCTCATCTTTATTAAAACCATGTGGCATACTTTACCCATCAAATGAACCAAATATAAAATAATCTCAGATTATACATTACTAGCCCTTATTTTCTTAAACACCAGATAYTGAAATCAGCAACTTCTTAGTTAACAAGATCTGCTATTTCGCTCAAGGAAGAGTTGCAGAAAATTTCGACTTTATTCAGTTACACTGTAGGCTTCTGAAGAGTACTGGTCGAATATGTTTGGATATGATCATATATTAAAACTCAGTGATATTTCATTAAAACATACCCTTTCTAGTTCTATAACCATGCAMCATTTCCAATGCATCCTTTAATGCTTTGTTGCCGAAACCTTTTGCTTTGATTTCTATTAAATCTTGGGATTGATGACACACGTGAGACTACTCAGAGAAGTAAACATGATTCACATATATGAAGTGTTCAATTATTATAGTATTGTATTTATGGTTTTTGTGAATAGTCTCAGATTAGAAATTATAGGTTTYCCTACAGAAATGAAAAGAGTTAAAAGAGTTTCAAATTCAGGGTACYTAATATTCTAGTCTGAGACAAACAGATTTTATTCTAACTCACTTTTTTTTTTTTGCGTATTAATTGAAATATGATAATTTCTACAATGTAAAACCTAATTATACAAATGTTACTGGAGAAGGTGGCCATTTGATTCATGTAGAGCAATATTAAAGTTATTTTAGTGTTCACTTGCCTGTCTTTATTTCCTTTGTTTTCTTGTGTATGTAATTTCATGCTGTCATTCCATCATAATTTACCTTAAATAATTTATCTTACTACTAGAAATTTCACTGTGTGAAATTCTCACCATTTAATTAAAATGTAAATTAACATTTTTAACAAAAAGGAACTACAAATGAGTCATTCTACAAGCTGACAGCCAATACCTAATTTTAATCCTCCCCTTCACATATAAGGTAACATGACTGTAAATTTTAAACAAAATTGCTTCGAACAAAGCAATATTATGCACACATAATTAAGGCAGTAATTACATGCGCTTGAGAGGCTTACTACCATGATTCATTTGTATCCTTACCAGATGAGTGTGGTTAAAAAAGCAATTCCAAAAGTAGTGTGCTTGCCTCTTTTTCTGACTTTATAATTCAGATCATAGTGTGTTTAGTAAGAAATTTAACTTGTTTTATGTAAGTGAATAGCTATTAAATGTATGGGAAAATTGGAAGTATTCTTTTGCAGTTTGTGTATCAAAGTTGTCAAACAATTTCCTAGTCTTGGATCTTAATTTTAGACCATTATTATGAGGAAGAAAAATCTCCATTATTTTATGAGTTTGCTCCTACGTTTTGTGCAGGAAGAAGAAAACACTGAGAAAATATTCTTCTGGTAATACATATATATATTGATAAAAACTAATCAGTGAATGATAAATGTTACTCTTATCCTCGTTTTCCCCCTCAGAGTTAGATTAGTATAAGCAATGTAACATCCATWATTCTGAAAGTGATAGTGGAATTGTGGTGGTCAGGTAAAAGCTTATCTAAAACTGGACTAAAAATGGGATAGGTTTACCAACATCCCCTGCTTTTTCCTCTCAAAAGACTGTCTGTCATTCCAGAATTYCTCTTATTAAAGAAAGTTACGACATAACATGACAGCTTCAAGATCTTTTCTACGTTTGCAAATTCAACCATGCAATATACTGATCCAACCTAAAAGCCTGTATATGTTATCTCAATAAATACAACATAGCTTCATATACAGAGAATTTTCTATTCCTACTTTATGTTACTGAGTATTTAGGATCTAACTTTTGAATAAAATGTATCTCTTTTTTCCCTCAGGGAACAAGAATGGAAGGATATGCAGACCCTTCCACAGCTGCTCAGGATGCAATGGTAAATACGCTCAGATGTGAACTTCTCAAACATTAAAAAAAAAAAAAAATCGCTGAAAAGTGATTTAGTAATTACTTAAAGAATTTTGCTCTTTTTTTTTTCCTTTTCCTGACACATTAGATTCTATGGGAAGCATGTCAGCAAAAGACAGGCGAACACAAAAATATGCTGCAAATGATTCTCTGCAACAGGAGTCACCAGCAGTTGTGGATGGGTAATCCAGCAGTTCAGCTGTTTGAACATAGAGTGGAAAGGAAAAACGTGACTCACTACTAAAGCCATGCTTTGCATACCAAGACAGCCAGCATGCAGCAGGACATTAGCGTGAAACCTAAGTGTGAACTGTTGGAGCTCTCAGACTTCCACTGATGTTAATGGGAATTTGGAAGTAATGCAAAACTGAACTTTGCCCAATGAATACTGACAGCTGTAGACAGAACAGGGAGGCATCAGGGATGCATAACCTAGGGAAGAATGCATGACCCTAGAAAGGCAAATGCTACAGCTGCACTGAGTTTATATATGACACAATGGGATGAGGGAGATTTTTCTTAACTATTTTATTCATTTTTCCTAAGTAACAAATGTTTGTATGTGAAAACACCTTGCTGTGTTGAAGCTTTTCCCCAGAAATTTCACGTCAGTGGTCACATCCACTCTCCCATGATGAACAAAACCACATAAGCATAAGGGTGGCCCACTTTCATTTAAAACAGAAAATCAAACATAGCGACAGATTGCAAGAAATTTATGTGAGCTTGTCCAAATGTTCCATTGTAGAAAAGAAACCTATTATGTCCCTTTGGTGACAAGTTTGAGTTTCTGCTCTGCAGTGGAAAAACAGTCTGCTGACAAGTTTATCACTGTGCAGCCACCTGTATTTCTTATGTCAACTTCCAACAGTAGCTTACAACTGCTTTGCTATCATGAATCAACAAATTCATTCAGCTGATGATGATAGGATTAACACATCTGCTTTATATTCTGCACTCTTCCTGATATTTGAGGGCTCTGCCTGTACTGTAGTACTCTGTAAGTTTTGCAGTAAGGAATGCACCAAAAAAATTTCCTCCTTCCCTAAAAGAAAAAGCACACCCTGCATATTTTCATGTCTGGATACCTGCATCATGCAGCGAGTTTGAGTGTCATGCAAATCATGGCTTCTCGTCACAATCCGTGAAATTCACTGATTTTAGCCAAAATGAGCAAAGAAGTTGTCTTACTAACATGACATTCTTACAAGTTTCATGGACAGATATTGCTAGATATGTGATGCACTTTCAYTTTATACTCTAGACTGAAGAACCCAGGGGGAGAATGTTATAGAAGCCAGATTTCAGGCTACTCATTTGGATTGCCTGAACTGGCGGAATACAAATATTATGAAACACTGAGAATAATAAGGGACGGAAATAAACTCAGTAGTGATAATTCTGGGGAGAAGCAAGGAAAAAACAAAAAAGCAAGTTGATCATTATTAATGAATAGTGAATATACAGAATATAACAGGATTTTTTTTTCCTCCCACCAAGTTTTCCAAGAGTTCCAAAAAATCTCTGGGCAAGACATAGTAGATGCCATTAATGAATGCTATGATGGATACTTTCAAGAATTACTGGTTGCAATAGGTAATGTAAAGATACTATTTTTACTAGCAGCAATCTCTTAATAAATATCTAGTATGTTATCTCTTGTGCATCAAGAATATTATTTTTTCTGATATTTTATCCACTTTAATCTCCCATGTTGTGCAAATAAATTTTCAGACATAATTAGAAAATTTTAACCGCTTTCCCATGTTTGTGTAAATATAAAAATGTATTTACACAGCACTAGCTTCTGATTGAGCAGAAGTAGTATCTAATTTTTATTTGATAACAAATTTTGTGTGAATAAGGATATCGCGGATTTCCAACTGACGTTACACATATTAAGTAACCAGCAAAGTTTTCAGGACTTTGGTGGTATATAAACAAGTTTCAAGCTTTATGTACATTTGTCCTTCATTTATAGAATAAGGATAAAAATATTTCTACAAATAGGATATGTGAGTTTATTCACTGGTATTTAAYAGGTGCTTTGATGCAACAGCAATGAGGACCCACCCAAAACAAATACCAAACTTTAAAAATTATAAATACAGTTGCATTAGTGAATATTGGTAGCTTAATTTTAACCCGAGGCATGGACAGCACTTTGCAGCTTTATATTTTAAGGAGCCTAAAACCAAAAGAAATAATTTCATAATAATGTTCTGGTTACCTGTTGCAATTCTTCCCTCTAGTTCTCTGCATTCGTGACAAGCCTTCCTACTTTGCTTACCGGCTTTATAATGCAATTCATGTAAGTAGTCATTCTTCTTGACATATCATAAAAAGCAGCTTCCATATTTTGTTTGATTATTCTTCAACAAGTACTTACAAATCAGTCTCTTCAATATCTAAGGTGTGATTGCATGTTTTAAAACTGTTGGCACCTACATAAATGTCAAAGCAGTAGTGCCTAAGCAACAGTCGGAATTCAGCAGTAAAAGGTTAAGTATTTAGATACCTTAAAAAATATTTGTCTGGTCAAATGTTTTCATTAGAGACATTTCTTTTCTATGGATGGTATCTCCCCTGCTGAGCAGAACTTCATGTGCACTTTTCTTACTATGTAATTTTTTGTCTCTAGAGATTTAATATGTATGGCTAAAAATTAAATCATAAATTAATGTTACTTAAAGACAAATGGTCGCACTTCTTTGTAGAACCTCGTGCGGATTCTTTTAATTTTTGTGGGCTAACTTCTTTTGACTGTTTTTATTGCCACTAGATGTCCTCACTGTCCACGCAATTACAAAATGAACATTAATTTAGAAACAGTTAAAATAAAACACATCTGAACACATACCATGTAAATAATAAATCTATGGTTAAAAATCTTATTGAATTCACATGAGGCAGCAGTTGTGAAATAAATTACTGACCTCATTAAAATTTGAATGGAGTCTWCAACTACAGTCACAACTGCTACCCACAAACTGAATTCCTAAGAACACTGGCAAAAAAAGTTCATCAGATTTCCTTTTATAAAAGTTTCAGTGCATGGCTAAATCACTGGCATATGGGGACCCACTGTTATTCAGTTACCTGAATTCTATTATTTGAGTACATGAAAACTCTGTAGGATAAAACCCTTACATGCTTAGATTCCTTTTAAATCTAGGATACCCTATATACTTACATACCCTGTATGGGTATATCTTACCTTTATTTACTGAACATTAATATGAGCATACACAGGCAAACACATATTGTATAGCTGTCAAGTTTCCTCAGTTTCCTCTCATCTTTTTTCATTTTAGGACTTTGGGTTTCACAATAAAACAGTTATTAGGATTCTCATTGCCAGGAGTGAGATTGACTTGATGAACATACGACAGCGATACAAAGAGAGATATGGGAAATCACTCTTCCATGACATCAAAGTAAGTTTTTAAAAACTTTTGCATATTCAGCACCAGTATCACACAGACTGTGCCCCTCTGTTTAACAATTTGATTTAAAAAAAAAAAAAAAAAAAAGCAAGGTGTAAAAATAATAGAGCATTTTCAGTGCCCCAGTTTAAGTGAACAGTGAATTCTCAACTCACTGTGATTTTATCCCTACCCAGTGCAACATGGGTATATAAACAGGGTATATAAAACAGGAGTTTGTATGMATGTTTTCTACACCACTTGATAACAGCTTATTTCATGTTATTCTGCAAGATTAGGTTGACACCACTTTTGGGCAAAGCTGAAATCAATATCTGGTTTTATCTTTGTGYTTAGATAGTMCCTACACAAACCCTGTTCCTCTAGTACTCCTGGTCTGTATCTTAAAACTTAACTTTAAAACTGTTTAATTGTACAAAAAAAATATTCTTGCTAAGACACTACCTTTTTGTGTCACTATAATCCAACTGCAAGATGTGCAACAACTTTATGAAATCACTCATGAYTTTTTGGTATTGAACTTGAGAAGTAATAAGCAGATATGATCCAGCCTTTCAAACTTAGATTGTTTCTAGGTGCCCAGGAAACTAAAGGCCAAGGCATGTGAAATTTTAAAAATCTCAGGCTAGAATCCTTATGAAAACAGTGTAATGTTTTACCAAAAAAATCAGAAAACTATAGTCACAGAAATGTTGATTTTTTTTTTTCCTTGCAGCATTTTGCTTCAGGGCACTATGAGAGTGCTTTACTTGCTATCTGTGCTGGTGATACAGAAGATTATTAAGTAAGAAGATGAACTCTGAAGACTGTGCAAACCTATTTTAAATAGAAATTGAAGCTTTATGCAATGCACTAACTGTAAGAGATCCCTATTTCACATATTACAACAGCAAAATTAGTATTGTATATTTGCTAATATTAAATCTCTCTTGAGATGGGAAAAAATGTTGCCAGGAACATGGTTTTATCCCTAGTTCTAATTAATGTTTCTGGTTTTACAATTAATGTAAATTAATGGAGCAAATGATAAAGTTACTCCATRTAAGCATTTGTTTATCATTTAGTGTCACAACATCCCAAACATTTATCAMCAGGCTCTGGAAGAATTTATTCACTTGCTCATTGGAGAGAAAAAAATATTTTGCTTTATTTACTTTTAGCAAGAGGATTTCTTCCTTTAAGGGATTGTTTTCTTCTCTTTCCTGCTTCATACATCTCATATTTTATGCTTTTGAATACGATTGTTTTAGATACTACCAGTCTAAGCATCTGCCCCCATGTATTATCAGTCATTCACCAGAGTGCTTTTGTATTCTTTCCTTTAGCTCACATAATGGCATTTCCCCTATTCTGTTTGAAACAGAGGTAAAAATTAGAATCAAGTACCCCATGCATTCCAGTGTCATGAGCTGGAAAACTTGGARGATGAAGCACTACTTAGCTTTTCAGCATAGGATCCGTTCCAGAGGATTAAACTCTGAATTCCATTTTAACCTATTTCATTTTCATCATTAATTGAATACTGACCTTCACATCATGGAGGTATATCCAGGATGGTATCATGCAGGAATTGACTACCAGTGGGTAACGCTGCACGTCTAAGTGAGGCTGAAGGACAATCTGGCAGCATCTGGTGACAGCAGCTTCCACCGCAAGGAGGAAAGGCGGTAAACCCGACCTCGAGTCCTCATCCCACAGAAAATCCAGACGCTATTTTTAAATACCCGGGTCTATTCAGGGCAGCCTATCCATGARAATTCCCAGCCTGTGCGAATGTACCTCCCGTCAGCCTCTCACGGAAATAGAGAGAAGCGAGGCAAAGTGTGGTAATGTTCACTGAAATATCTGCCCGTGGCTTTTCTCCCGCCGCCACGAGGTGTCCAGCTGGTCACAGACCTTGGAGATAGTTTTTAGAGAGGCACTTTCTGCAGGTGCAGCTCCGTGTGACTGAACAAGGCACTGCTACAGAAAGGTACAAATTARTGGTTGCTTTTGTGACGTTCGCACCTGTCTCTACCCTCAGCCTCTGGAAATAACACTAATTACAGCGTTTCCGGCGTCTTTGCAAATACTGGCTTCGTATTACAAATATATTTATAATAAATTTAAAATTTCTTCCGAACCTCTCTTGAGTTTGACTCATTTCCAAACACTTCGGGTGAATAGTGAAACTGCTAAGCKAGAACATTGGGAGAAACGGCTTCGGGAACAAAAATAAATGGGAGGGGGAGCGGAGGGGAGAATGAGTTGAACATTGTCCCAGCTGCTCAACATTAACATAATTCTCACCGAAGTTATTTTGTAACTGTAGCTGAACGTAGCTCCCAACACCCGTACCTCGGCACTGTGGAGTCACTTCGTTTTAACGCTACAGATGTGCAGAAAGGAACAACGACACTTCTCTCAACTGTAAATGAGCTGCGGACCCAACTGGTTCCCACAGAACACGGTCCTAAGCTCCTGCCACAATACCCGAGGCGAGAGCTCCGCGCAGAGCCCGTCACAAAATGGCAGCGGCGGCGCTAGGACCCGACGGGCCGCGGGGCCGCTCTCACGCCAACGCCAGGCAGGAGGCGGGTCCCGAGGTGCTGGGCCCCACCCCCATGGCCTCTCCTGTTTTTACTGGACAAAGACGACGTCAATCTCTTACCTCCGCCTATCGCCGATGCGCCTCTTCTCGCCCCGCCCCCAGCAGCCGGGCGCCACTTCTTGGGAAGTTGACGGCTGGAAGTGGCGCTTGGAGCGTGGCGTTCGTGTTGTTGGTGGCAGCCCGGCCGYAGGCCCCCGGTGCCCTAGAGCTGGAAGCGGAGAGGCAGCCGGACGAGCTGGGCCCGGAGCAGCAGCAGCAGGAGCGGCGGCCGCTCGTCTCCTCGCCGCCGCCGATGGAGGCGAGCCTGACGTGTGCCGTGTGCCTGTCGCTGTTGGAGGAGCCGGTGACGCTGCCGCTGTGCTCGCACAACTTCTGCCGGGGCTGCGTGCTGGAGTGCCTGGCCTCGGCCGAGGCCGCCCGCCTGCGGCAGCTGCAGCGGAGCCCGGGGCAGGCCCGACTCGGCCGCGGGGCGCCGGGGCCGGTCCCGGGCCCGCCCTGCGCCCGGGTGCCGTGTCCGCTGTGCAGGAAGCTGTGCCTGCTGCCCCGCGGCGGAGTCGCCGCCCTGCCCGTCAACACCACCCTGGCGGAGGTGGTCAAGCTCTACCGGTCCGGCGCGGCGGGCGCCGCCGCGACCGGGGAGGTGGCGTCGGGGCTGAAGCCGGGGTCCGACCTGCTCTCCCCGCCGGCGTTCGGGGGAAGCTGCCAGAAACACCCGAGCCGGCCGGTGCAGCTCTACTGCCGCATGTGCCGGCAGGCGGGGTGCGGGCAATGCGTCTCCGAGGAGCATCAGGGCATCTTCCACTCTGTCAACCTCATAGACACGGTGTACCAGGAGGAAAAAGTAAGGCGCCAGGGGCCTGGCTGGGAGGTCGGGCTGTCCACTGGAGATCCCACCGGGCACGGGTTGCTTTTACTCAGAAACGCAGGAGAAACCGCAGCGTAGTAGACGGGAGAGRGGCAGATATCTTGCTGCTTTGGGGCAGTCAGGAGTTGCTTGTGGCCTGCCGGGGTGTGCCTTCCCCTCATGTCGTCAGGCTGCATCCAACGCACACGGGACCTGGCAGAATTACAGTAGCAATAAATCTGAACCTAGTTTACCGAAAGACCTGGACAGCTGAGTTTTGGGTGTTGTCGGATTTTTTTTGGTTTGATGAGGGASCGGAGGGGAGATTGGTGTTTGGTTTTTTGTTGTTGTTTTTCCAAATTCAGGAAGATCTAACAAGTCAAAAAAACCACCCACAGATGTTTTGTTTATAGGCTTTCTGAACAGCCATAGGTAATTTGGGTCATAGATAATTGCATATTTAGGGAGAGATAGTTTGGGCGAGTAATAATAAATGTTAAAACAAGATACCTTCCAGTTTGCATAAGAAAGCAACTGCCTGCCATAATGGTTTCTTGGCTGGCTGTAGAAGTTGTGATTTTTAACCAAGTAGTGACTATTTGGATAGAATAAGCTTTTCATATCCTGTGCAAATTGGGTGCAGGGTGGCAGGTCTGTTGTGAAGTAATTGAAATGCAGGACAGTGATGAAAAGTACAAGTATAAAAATTTAAATACAGCACTGACTATTCTTTAAGACAAAAGTTGCTTTTGCACTGATTTTCCTCCTGCCTCTCCCATCACCAATTGTGTGTCACTTGGGAAACCAGAGGAAAACAGCCTGTGCACTAGACATACTACATAATGTAGTGATACTGTAGAGATAAAGGAGGAAAACTCACTGATAATACTAGTTTAAACCCCAACAGAAATATCTTGATTATGAGCAGCTTTCTATTTTAGCAATGTGAAAAAGAAAAAGTTAATATCACACAGGTTTTGTCTAAACTGGAATAACAGCATTAAAACTTATATTGTGATAGGTATATATGAGAGGAAAGGTTAAAAAAAAGCCTAAGGAAAACAGTGGTTTAACTATAGTCATTCTATCATTATGCATTGTAGGTGAGCCTAATGGGAAACACCAGAATAAAGTTTGTGTACTGATCCAGGAAATCATTAAATGTTATTAAGGGATGTTTTGAATCACAAGCTTTTTTACTATTTTGTACAGAATATCACAGAATTGATGGGGTTGGAAGGAACCTCTGGAGATCACCGAGTCCAACCCCCTTGCCAAGGCAGGGTCACCTAGAGCAGGTGACGCAGGAATGTGTCCAGGTGGGGTTTGAATGTTTCCAGAGAGTAGACTCTACAGCCTCCGTGGACAGCCTGTTCCAGTGSTCTTCCACGCTCAATGTAAAAAAGTTCTACCCCATGTTGAGGTGAAACTTCTTGTGGTTAGCATATGGCCACTGCTCTTTGTTGTGTTCCTGGGAACCACTGGAAAGAGCCTGGCACCCTCCTTTTGGCCCACCTGTGAGATATTTGTATGTGTTCATGAGATCCTCTTTCAGTCTTCTCCAGACTAAACAGGCCCAGCTCCTGCAGTTTYTCCGTGTAAAAGAGATGCTCCAGACCTCTGATCATCCTTGTGGCCCTCCACTCTACCATCTCCAGTAGCTCCTTGTCTGTCTTGATCTGATTCTAGATAAGCACTGAAACATATTTATTTTATGGCATGGATAAAGTTGAAATAAGTGTTTCAATTGTCTTGCAGTTAACCTTCTTTAGCACTCTGAAACAAATGAGAATGATAAATGAGAAGCTGGAGAATGAGATCTCAAAACGACCGAATGATATAGATGTGAGTTACAGATGCTGGATGTTATATGTGTGTGTGTGTGTGTGTGTGTCTTTTTTTCTCTTCTCATGGTAGTTTAATCACAACCTGGAGCATACAGGTGCTCCTTAAGGCAAAGACATGATCTGAGCTTACTTAGAGAAGTGACTCAGTGTGAACATTGCTATTGCATCTACATATGTTCTTATGTTCTCATGCTTCTAGGTAATGCTGAAAAATGATATGGAGATAATTGAGCTGAAATTTGGAGAAGTTTTCAAAACTCTAGAAATGAAAAARCAGCAGTTACTAGAAGATGTTGAAAGTCAAAGAGTTAAAAAAGAAGAAGAGTTTCAGATTTGGAAGAAAATGAAAGAAACTCACAAGAAGACCATTGAAAATTTTTTGAAGGATTGTGAAAAGCTTGTCCATGAGTGTGATCCTCAGTGTTTCCTGGAGGTGATTGCCTTTTGYTTTGATATAAGTTGTATAAAGAACTCAGATAGAGCCTGCTATATGGCAGATTTTGATTGTGATTGATCAGGAAAAACAAAGTCARCCAATGAGTAATGCAGAGTACAATTAGTTAACACTTCATATTTTTTTTAAACAATGTTTTTCATTTTTAGAAAAATTTTAAGAAGATTTATTTGCAGCTTATCAATGACTTAYTGTATGCTTTCCTAAGAAACAATGTATTTCTGATTTCTGCAGTGGGTCTTTTTGCTGCCTGTAAATAAATGGAAAGCTAAGGAAGTATAGAGTTTGACTGTGTGGTAACAACTAATTAAGGAAAATTTAACTTTTACTTGAAGTAAAAGGAGCTCCCACTTTTGGAAGAAGTTTTGTGACTCCAGTGATTAGTATGTTACTAATCACTTCCACATCTTTTAACTTCCTCCTTTTCTTCCTGTTGTTCCTCCCCCTCTTGTTGTTCCCCATCCCATTTTCATCTTCTTCCTCTTATGTCTCCTGGTTTACTTCATACTCTGCCTGTTCCTTCTGTTTCTCCTTTGCCTTTTGTTCTTCCTCCACTTTCACCTTTGGTTCCTTCTTACCCTCCTCATCTTTTTCCTCCCATTCTTCCTGTTCATGTACTTCCTGCTATTTGTTTTCTTTCCCTTTAACTTAGCCCCTCCCCCTGCCCAGTTCTCCATAACAGTACATTTTTTTTTGTTGTGTAAAGATCCAGTACAGTGAGATTACCAGTTTTTTTAGGGAAGCMGCTCTAATCCAGTCAGGCTTTTTACTTTTCATTACATGTTCTTTGGGAAGTCTCACTTGACTACAGTGCAGTGCACTACACTTCTTACCACCATGATCTGCCTGATTTAAAACTAAAAGACAGCTTTTTTAATAGCATATCAAGAGCACACAGAAGATTCTTTTCAAGAAATACAGAATAGTCCTTCATTTGAATGTTTACAAATATCTGAACTTCAGAAATTGATTAGGTGACCATATGGGCGATGATTTGAGTGCCTTCATTTGTCTCTGAGTTCTTTTTGTCTTTATCACAAAATATTACAGGATAAATCATTGTCACAGACATACTTTTTTGGGTTGGGGTTTTTTGGTTGGTTGTTTTTTTTAATGTTAACAGGTTTATTTTGTATAGTTCTGTGCAATTAAAACGGACTTTGTCAATACTGTCTCAAGTATTTTGATAAAGCAATAACTTTCTGACAGTTAGAGAAAAGCTCATATCTTACAAATTCTTGTTTTATTTATAGGTTGCCTGTGGCTTGAATACAAGGTATATTTTTTTCATGTTTAATTAGTTCCCTAGTGTTCTTTTAGATTTTTAAGATTAAAAACTTTCAAAAAATAGCTACATTGGATAAGATAAGCAATTTAAAATTAAAATAGTATTGAGTAATTAAAGGTTATAATACTTTCAGATTTTTGGATGCCTGATATTCCAAATTTTAGGCAATGTGTCAAGAATTTGAGYGATATACTATCTGGGATCAGACCTAATCAAGCTTTTTCATTATCTCCCTTACTTTATAAAAAGTGAATATAGAAATTCATTAATACCTGGCGATTGGTTATTTTCAGATGTCTTACTTAAACTTGAACACTGAAGCATGCTGAAGCTTTTACAGAAATCTTTCAGTGTAAGAGTGTGTGTGGATATTCTGCAGTATCTTTATGTTTGTAGTGCACATATCCTGTAGTTTCTTGTAAGGTTTCTTAATTTAATTTCTTTGAGCATTTAACCTGCATTTAAGAAAGAATGTTGGAAATTTAGTTCTTTAAAATGCATTATGTTTCGGACTAACATTAGCAATGCTATCTGAAGAAGGAGTATAATTTAGATTTGGGCAATGTCCACTAAGGAAGGTGCTGAAGAGTCATTTTTTGCTAACCTACCAGTACTACATCTTGCAGTTTTCATTGAGTATGAAACCTAATTCAAGTGAATAAGTTTAAAAAAAAAATCTAGAGAACCTGACATTTTATTGAAGACATAATTTTCTGATTCCTTCTTCCTAGTGATTTCTTAATAATTTTTTTAATATATATTAGACAGGTAWAATTTAGCTATCTTGTAAGCATGTAGAGAAATGTTTAAGTTGGTTCAGTTTGGGTTGTTTGGTTTTTTTCCTTTTCTAGAATGAAAACTCAGCTTGATGTGATGAATATAGCATCCAGCTGGGAAAAACCACCAGTGTATATGCCAAAGAAGATAGATATCAAACCTGTGATTAATGAAATTTTAACATTGGAGTTAACAACTGCTAATGCAGGCATTGTTAAAGGTAGGGAAAAAGGACTTAAGATTTGGGAAGTCCAGAAACCTGGAACTTGTGGAACCAATTGCTAATAAACAATCTGCATGGCAAACACATGCAAGAAAGCATCCAAGCAAATTAAATGAATTATTTCATTGAGGGTTTTTAAATGTGTTTTATGAATGTGCTTTCTCTAGGAAGCTCCTGGGCTATATTTTTGGAATCTGGGTACAATATCCGACCAACAGCGCTGTTGCTGAACTAGATGAGTGTTTCTTGTAATGTCATGCGAATGTTGCCTATGCTCATATTTAGTGCCTTTACCTCACAGCAGGAGGTGTTACATTTTCTGTCAGGGCAGGCATCTCCTGCATTTAAAAAATGTGTTACAMAGGCTTCTTGCTTTATAGCAAAAAACTTAAACAAGGGCTAGGGTCTCACTTAGGGCACTGTAATTTTGTTCTTAAGTGGAATCTGTTTAGGTACACAGGAACCTTTCAATGTTTTCCATATTTAATATGGAAAACAGGGGAAAGGATCTCCATCACTATTTTTGTGCTCTTTCTAATAGATCTGCCTTATGAAGGAAATGAGAGCTCAACTCCATTTAAAGATATCTTAAAGCAGTGGCAGGATCAGAAGAATATACCCAACAAATTTCTTGTAAGTTATTGGCTATATGATCTACAACATGGTTGGTACTATTTTGGCTTACCAAAATGAAATATAATGTCTGCTGCAAAATATTTTTCAGCCTGTAGCAGGACAGGATGAAGCAGACGGTAGCAGGATCCCTACTCGCTTTATGTCAATATCAGAAATGTCAGCATTTCAAAATATGAGTCATGAGGTATGATTGAGCATCTGTTGTAAGTATGGCTAAGTTACTTTTTGTTATGATGCAACCTGCTAAATAAGCTTTAAAAAATTTTTTTTTCAGTTTCCTTAGCAAAAAGTTACCCTTCCAATTCTAGAATGAAATCTGACTAGGTATTAAAACTGTCAGAATCTTACTTTTTTTTTTTTTTCTTCAGAAAGCTGAAGCTTAATCTTACTGCTGACTTCAAATACTTTTATATTTAGTGTGGCTTTTGGACTCACATCTGTAGCTTTCTAATCCAATTAAACTTCCCTCATGTCTATTTCAAGAGGAAGTCATCTGCTTGTATTCTGTTATCTAGATATACTAGAGTTCCATCTTAAAGACCACATAAAATAATTTGACATGAAACTGAATCCAATCTCTTTTGTTGTTTCATTTCAAATTTTGTAGTTATACAACTAGATTTTCTTTTACTTACTAGCAGATCCATTGGTGTGGCTGAGTATTGTTCTGTACAGAATGAGTCTAGTTAGTTAGTGAGGCATGGCTGGTAGTGAATCACATATATGTTCTGAGACTACCACTCAGTGGTATAATTAATTACTCAGCAGTATAATTAATTAAAAAGTTGCTTCGGTCCTTCTAATATAGATTTTTTTTTTCTGTATTGTTTTGGAAAATACCTGTTTTCTATTGCCATTAAGAATGCAGTTATACGTAGGAACAAAAACAACCCAAACAAAAACCTCACCACTGAGCTTAATTTCAGATGGTTATTTTTCATGAGAATTTATTTGAGAATTTGTTGCTTAATATCTATTTCTGGTTTTGATAGAGCCTTCTCTTTCAAAACCTCCTTTGTCATCAGGGTTCTGTGTATGTTGTTCAATGGCCTTTGAAGAACGTTTTTCTGTAATGACTTGTGTTCTGTTGCCTTCCAGTAGAAAAGGAAAAAYACATTACAAATGCTCTAGAATATATGAAAACTTTTCTTCAGTCTTAGTCATATGTCAGTTTTATAACCTCTGAATCCAGAAATGCTGCTTTAAATAATGGATTTTTTTTKCTGTAATTGTAGGAATTACGTTACAAATATTATATGGAACTTCAGAAGCTCCCCAGTGTGTTTAAGACTCAAAATTTCCCTGCAAATAAGAAGTATAAATTTGTAACTTCTGAGGCCTCCAAGAAGTCCTCAGGAACTTCTTTTTTATCTTCACCTACCAAAGCAAATAACACAGAAAGAATAAAAATGGGAACCCTGCGACGAGCTGGTGGCTTTGAGAAAAGAAACTTTTCTGGAATCAGTGCTCTCAGTGTCCCATCCACAAATACAATGTTTTCTGAAATGAATGGTGACTTAAAATTATTTCATGAAGGAAGTGCACAGGAAGTATCCGCTCCAGCCCYGTCAGAAAACTCTCCAGACCTGTCAATTAAAGAAAAATTGCCAAGACAGACATCATCAGTTAGTGTTTCCAACGAAATGGATTCTAATTCTAGCACCACTTTSGATTTAAAACCAGGAGCAACAGGGGCTGTTACTGTTTCAAATTCAGAATCTGTGGATGTTTCTGCAGAGAGACCTTCAGGTGTGCCTTTTACCTTCAGTGCATCTAACAACTCATTACCAAGATTCAGTAAAGATAAAGGTACATTTTCCATTAAAAAGCAAGACAAGAAATGTGCTTTTCCTCAGTTTTATTTAGGGACATGTGATAAGGTGGATAAAACCAATAACCAGGATAAACATGGTTCTGAAACCAAAAATGTTTGCAATGATTCAACCAGTCCTAATTTAAACTCAACAGAAAGTGAGAAACCACACATTTTGTTTCCCTTTGGCAATTCAGAAAGAGATTGGTTTGCAGGATCCAAAGCCAGCACTTCATCTAAGGTTTTACCATCATCCTCATTTTCTAACCAATCTGAGAAGCCATCTGACAAAAAAACATTGTCTCACATGACAGAAAAAACACTTTGTGCAAAGGAACCTGCAGGATATAGTACACAGAAACCATCTGTCTTAGGGGAACAAAAACCTCACGCCTCAGAATCCAGCACAACTGTAGCTTGCAGTGCTTCAGCACCTAACTCTACAGCTGGGGGTAATTGTGTATCCAAGTCCCCTGTTCTAAACAGTAATTGTGCATTTTCCTTCAAAAGTAACTTTTCATTGCCTTCACCAGTGTTTTCATTTGGAGGTATGCTGACTTCTTCTGTGTTTTTTTCTGGAAACAGAACAGAAAARATGGGAAAGGAGAAGATGAAATCTCCTGACAAAACATTTCTAAATCTAGGGAAGCCTGTATCTTCAGAGTGTGCTGARTCTGTTTCTTTTCAGAGTTATCAAAAATGTGAAGGCTCACGCTTGCCTATGAATTCATCTAAAAACATTGAAAGGGCAGAAAGGCTTGGTGATGATAACATTCCTTGTCAGCCTTTATGTTCAGGAGTCCTTCCCATTGAATATGAGAATGCACCTTCCACTCAACTCATTACAGCAACAAAACAAGAAAAGAAGGTAAAATATGAAGAAACCGTTGCTGAAAACAACTGTGTGTGTCCTAGAAGGAAAGGTGAACCTGAGCCTGTACAGTTTCAGAACACAGCTTGTTCTGTTCCTGGCACATGCAGTGATCCATCTTTAGGAGGTTCTGTGCTTGTAGTAAATGAGACAGGAGGAATGCTAAGAGACAGCACTTCTGACACTGAAGAGCCAAGTCAAACATCTGTCTCTACTGATACCAGCCATGCATCGGAATATTTTTCTGTTGCTGAAGATAATATGTCTGCTAGAAGGAAATCAGATATGAAGAGTGACTGCAAAGGGAATTAAACTGATATTAAATAAATTCTATTTAATGCACTAAAAGGTGGGGATACTTGTGATTTTACAGCTGTTCTTTCCCCCAATTCTTGCTAATTGAGGTATCTGAGTTGGAAATGTACTGCTTATGAGCAGTACAATGCAATGAAGTGATTTTTTTATAGTATAGTCACGAACTCAAGGAACGACCAAAAATGTAATGTCCTGATCAAGACCAAAGCATGGCCATAGTTGCTGCATCTTCAAAAATGCAAATCTTCTGGGTTACGTTTGGGGTTGGAGAACTGAGGTGTCCCAGAAAGTGGGTTGGGTGAAGCCTCAATAGCAGGAGACAGTAAATCACTGTCTGGGTACAGCAGCACTTGCACTTAAATGGTGCAAGAGCATTCATCTCAGGCAGGGAGGAAAGAGAGTTGCAATGAAAGTAAAGAATATTGAAGGCATTGCTGGATATAGTTTTGCCTGTCTTCATTTGGCTGTTTCTTTTTCTGTGATGTGTTTAATGTATATTGAAGGTGCAAGTTCTAGCGYCATTTTCAATAACTCCTCTCATACTTTTGGAACTGAAGTACTCCATCAGTGTTCTTGTTATACACTGCAGAAGGGTGTCAGCTACACTTCTGAAATGCTGCCTTCAGTAAAAAGAAACATCACAATTAAATTTCAGTTCTTTTTGGCAAGTTCAAAGTTTGGGAATACTTGGTCAGATATTAACTTGCTGTTTTAATGAAAGCTTTTGGAGAATCTAGCTCTCAAAATACAAATTTTCTTTTAAAATCTGTGTGTAATGACAAGAAGAAATGAAAACAGTACTCCTCACTCTATGTGTTAATGATTTAGAACTCATGCAATTTTTAGTCTGTAAAACAGTATACAAAGTAAGGATAAGAAGACTCTTTTCTACTTTGCTGGCCATTTTGTTGGATCCAAGGGACAACTGTGTTTTAGTGGAATACACAGACAGTAGTACTATTTTAAAATAAAGCTGTTTTGTTTACTGTTCACTCTTCAGCAAAAGCTGATGCTGATTTTAAAGAAATTMATTCAGTATTAGATAAATATGTCAACTGGCAAGTATTAAATCAAAATGCAGAATGTTTAATATTCCATCAGAATTTTTCACTGGCAACTAGAAAAATGAATAATCTGCTAATTAGCTCTGTAAGGCTGTAAGAAAAATATTACTTAAATCTCTGCAATACTTGCAGATATACTTACTGTGACATAATACTTAGAAACTATTCTTAGTTTAGGAAATGTTGACCTAATTTTGTGTTCGATTCTCGGCCTTAACTTTTCTGTCACAGTGCATTCCTTTATTAAATGTGYTGAAAAAATAGTTTCTAGTATTTGTAATACTTAATATTACTGCTCTGTTTGCATTATAGTAAGGAAGGTGGTGAAAATTCTCTTTATGGTTATTTTTTTTAGTTCTTGATGTTCATCCCGTAAATCTTACTGTATTTCAGTTTTCCTCTGAGATTTTTTTCTGCTGTTATCTGTAGACATTCTTGTCATGTTCTGCATGTGTAGGAGAGAAATGTTAATATTGATTCAAATCACTGGAAGACAAAGGCTGAGTGAGATGCTAATGGCCAAGAGTATCACAGGTGGAGGTTGGTCTCAGTAATAAAAGTGAGAGAAATTGAACAATTTTAATAAGGCACCTGTACAATTAATTGCGAGAAAGTTGTAGAAAATGTTAGTTTTCTTCTACAGCGACAAAAAAAACTTAATGAACTAGGGTTAATCAGAAACCATAAAAAGTTTCTTAAACTTACTTATTTTCAACGTGTCTTCTATTCATTTCTCTTGTTTCATGAGAGCTTGATAAACTTTCATGCAGATACTTTGTCTTTTTGTGAAAAGATACCATCCTAGAATCATAAAGCAAATAGACTATGATGCACTGGTTTTGAAAGTAGAAATGGGGGGTTTGCTACAGTCCTAGGACTGCTTTTCAGTCATAGTTGTGCCATGTTATAGCTCAGCATTAAGGTTTTACAGGGCAAGTAAGATTTGCACAGAAACCCCCAACAAAGAGATACTCGCCCCACTGCCTTGGCCATACTACGCTGACCTAGAAGGGAGTCCTTCCCAGTTTCCTGAAAATTATGTGAGATGGTACAGAATAACCTCTCGTCCTAGGCATGCCTCTTCCTGGCTACTAACTCTGTCCTGKCTGGAAGCAGGACAGTCAGTGATTTTGGATGAACACCAGAGCTAATTCAAAGAAATGGGATTCAGAGTTGTTCTTACTGCATGTTTTGCTTATTATCTGTGGAAAATAACTTGTATCAGCATCTTGGTTATCATCATAAAATTCTGTGTGACAATGAAGACTGTTGTCAAAGCCTTCCTAGAGTATCTAAACTTAGCAATGTGTGTACGTATTTTCAGATGACAGGTAGATGAAAAGGCTGTGTTAAACTGTAGCATTTGCCTGAAAATAATTCTGAAAA